GAATGCATTCAGGTTATATAATCTTGATATCCCTCTTTGTTTATTAAAGGGACACTATAGTCATCAGCAATTGCATTTGTTCTGGTGAGTATAATCATTCCCTTTATACTTTTTGTTGTAAACACTGTCTTTTCAGAGAAAATGTTTACATTACAGCCTAGTGATAACTCCACTGACCACTCTTCAGATGGCTGCTAGAGGTGCTCCCTGGGTTAGTGCTGCACAGTGAGCAGCACTGTCATTCAATGTCTCCACCTTCTGAATGCAGACACTGAACTTTTCTCATAGAGATGCATTGATTTAATTAATCTCTATGATGAGATGCTGATTGGCCAGGGTTATGTTTGATTTGTTCTGTCTCTGTTCCTGAATAGCAGAAAGCATGCAGGTCAGAGGCAGAGGCAGCAGCAGCAGCTGCAGACTTGAAAACAAGAAAGATTTCACTGTATTTAGGGATTCAAGAGGGGACCAGAGGAGCTAGATGGTGGTTTTAACACGCTAGGGTCAGGAATACATATTTGTGTTGCTGACCCTCTAGTGTTCCTTTAACTAATGATACGTTTTAAAACAAGCAGGGGTCCTCAGGACTAATGGTAGCTATCTTTCAACAAAAATCATGTGCATTAGGAGGGGCAACTGAGAAAGTTGTCCTGCCACATCATCTGATAATCATGGAAAATGGTCAAATTGTTCCACTTATTCCTTCACCCTACGTGTGGTGTGGTATGATTTAATATTTAACAATTTCTGAAATAAAATACAGATATATTAAAATGTCCATTAAATTACGTGATAATGATTAGGATTAGCATTGTGCACACCTCTTTTTAACCGGTGATGACTAAATAAAATTCCTGTTAATTGATACCTGAATTAATTGATCTGTTTGGGATTTACATGACAAATCAATTTGTTCAGATGTCGATTTAATAGGAATTTTATTAGATCATCACAGGTGAAAAGGATATGTGCACAACTCTATTATTATGTCTACTTTATCTTTAATTGTTTGAATAAGGTTAACAAAAAAGTTCTATTGCCAGATACAACCATGAGTTAATTAATATCAAGAAAATAAATTGTGGTAAATGAAAACTAAATAGACTTTTTATATCAGACAAAATATTCTAACATAAATGCAGAAAGTAGAACTAAAAATACTAAGGACACATGCAACGCTAGTCACTATTTATTGCTATATATCTGTAAAAACAATTTTAATATTTAGGCACGTAGCTGGAAAGCAATCACTGAAATTTATAGGGTTACTTACAGGTTTTCGTTGATTAATCACTTTGAAATATATCAAGCAGAACTAAGTCTGCTGGAATGTGAGCAATGTAGATGTAGATCTCTCTCATCCACTGCTGGATTGTCACACGTGTATATAAATAGTTTTTACTGGATGGAAAAATTACACCTATTTTATGCTTCAACAAGTCCTTATTGAAGCCAAGTCTTGGCCTGCATCCTTACTGATTTACGTTTATATAACAAATGCCAAGATACAACTTTGGACAATGTTTATCCAAGAAATATAATTTTAAAGGAACACTTCAGTGTTATAAATAAATACATTTATTTACAACACTGGATTGTTGGGAAGTCTTGGGCCCATATGGCCAAGAAAAGAGTTAACTTATCAATAATCAAGTGACGAGGCAATACATTTTTGCTTTGTCTGCTAGGAGATAATCAATACTGGGGAAATCTCCTCACTGTGCCATCAATGCTTCTCATAGAGAAATACAGAATTCAAAGCTCCCCTATAAGAAGTTCATGTTCCCACTTTGTGATGGGGCACAAAGCAATCAGGAAGAACACCTTACCGTGAGTCCAATTAACAACTGCAACCATGCAACCTTGTTTCTTTAGAAAATAACTGATTTCTTTTGAAATTTCACTTTTTAAAAGTGATAATCAGGGGGCATTCTGTTAAACCTGGAGTGCTTTGGAGGTTTTGCTTGTTTCTTTAATTTCACAATATATAAATGTTTCTGTACAGGCCGACAAATTGTAGGTAGGGAGTGAATTCATTAAGCAGTAACATGTGGTAAGTTGCCAAGTAGAGTAATTGGGCTGTAGTTAGTTGTCAGTTAAGTTTATTGATAAAATACCATATTCTTTAAGCTGAAGCTCCCAGCAACTTCAGTTATTTTTTTTCAAAGTCATTGTAAATATTTACATAGAAGTATACATGTCAAATATGCATAGTCTTTATGTGGAGTTTTATTCCAGACAATGGTCCCAATGGAAAACATATTCAGTTGAATCAAACTCATATAGGTTGACCTAATGATGGTAGTGAATGGGCAACTTAGTACAACTTTCTGCTATATAAACAGATCTTAATTAGTTTCACTCCTTCAAGATTATTATAATTATCATTCACATTTATATTGCACCAACTTATTCCACATCACTTTGCAAAATTTTAAAGGGGAAGATTTAACCATAAATAAGACAATTACAAATTGTTACAGAAAAAATAGGTTGATCACCGTCCAAACATTGTGTGTATCACCATTTTTAGATTAATAAAAAAATGCAAATGATCAAGACGTCCTTACACTAAGTAAAATGTTTTGGAATGCATTTGTTAATAACTTTCAATATTCTAACAATTTGCTATTTAAATAATAAATCCATAAAATTGTTGTTTTTATTTTGTAATTAAATACTAAACATAAAAATATATAAAAAATAGTGCCCCAAATAACTCACTAGTAACACAAATGTAATACAAACTCTAGGACAAAGAGTGATCATTGCAGTACTGCACTTCATGCTAGTGAGCACAGTTTTAAGATTATACTTTTTTTTTTAAGTTTGGAAATCTATGTAGAGAATCCGTTTTTAAAAACTAAAACCTTTTTTCAAGTTGACGTCAACAGTTACATAGATTTAGCTAGTTACCATTACCCACCATGGCTTAATAACATTCCCAAAGGACAATATATAAGAATGTTTAGAAACTGTAGTGACGTAGAACAATTTGATGTCCAAGCTAATGTTTTAACAAATTTTTTTTAAGGAAAAAAAATTATAAGCTTGAAACTCTTGAAAAACATGGATCCCCATTGTTTTGTATTTTAATGGGGATTCCAAACATATTCAACATATTTTAATAAATATTGGCATATCCTAAAAACTGATAAAGAGTTAAAAGAAATTTTAGGAGATAGACCTAATATAGTTTATTAAGAATAATTAAAGAATAAATTAGTAAAAAGTTTTATCAAAGATCCACCTTTTTATCCACATTTTTAATTTACCTAAAGGTTTTTACTCCTGTAAAATGTGCACAGCCTGGAAGAGAATCAGTTTTAACAAATCATGACAAGTCAAATTTAAATCCAATATTTCTAAAAAGAAATATGAAATTCAGGATATTTTGATTTGTCATTCAACTAATGTGGTGTACCTCCTCTGGTGCCCCTGTGGCTTACAGTATGCGGGTATGACAACAAGAAACTTTAAAACACGCATACTGTAACACATGTGATATATCCAGAGGTGGTACACCAAACATAGTGTATCCGCTCACTTTTCTAAAGTTCATAATAGTAATCCAACTTGTTAGAGTTTTATAGCTATTTATAAGAAAAATTACAATTGGAGAGGGGAGGAAAACTTTAAGGAACTCAGTAAGGTGGAAAGTAGATGGATATTTGAATTGGACACACTAAGCCCTAATGGCTTCAATTTAGATTTTGAGTTTGTCAATTTTCTGCAATATATAATTATAATTTTGATAATATACTTTTGTTCTATTTAGGCACATTGTTAGTTCCGTTCTGTTACATACTGTGAAGTATATTTTATCTTCCATTTTGACACTGGTTGTTGTGTATGATAGGTCGTGCTATAACTACAATTTTATTTATGTATCTAGAAAATAAATATAGAAGTCCGCAATACTGTATTTAGCTCTATCCTGGAACTGTGGCTCAGTCTTGAGTTCCGGTCAGTCATTGATTTATAGATTCTGCCCTTTGCACCTGTCAGCCAAAAACAGAGAGCCACCACTATAATCTCTCTCACATTACTTATACTTTAAAAGAGCATCATAATACATCATAATACATAAAAATATTTATTTAGAAAATTCAAGGAGTCATTTTCTCTGTTAGATTCAGGACCTCTCATTTGGATATATAAACAATAATAAAAGTTTCCTTTAATCCAGTGCCATTCCATTTGTATTATGGCCACCAATCCACCTGCTGGGATATTATCATTAGTCAGAGCCAATGCTTCTTCTAAAGAAGCATTGGGGACCTATGGTGCAAGCAGTGCTGCTCTATGCCAATCTGACTATTCATATAGAGAAGAATCATCCAATACCTCTCAAGATGGAGAATTATCCATGTTCACTGTCATCATGTGACTGTCACTAGAGGTGTGATATAATGGTCTTGGTGCTTAGGCTTTAAGCCATAACTATGTTGCTGTCAATATGTATCTAATTAAAACAAGACAGACACATGATTTCATCATACTGATTTTAATAGCAACTTCGTAATATTATATATACAGAAGGATATCAATAGTTGAATACATTTACATAACTATAAAGTACAATACTTAAAATACATAAACAAATAATAAGTACTTAGGTGTATACATTATGACTTTCAAAAGAGTTATCCCCAAACTTTTAAATGAAAGAGAAATTTGCCATGTTACAGAAAAATTCTTATTTTGCTTATAAAACTTGACAATTTTTAAAATTACATCTGTAATACTAACAATTTTCTGTATCATAAAAGTAACAGTTAATTTTGCCATCATAAAGGCCTTTTGATTTATATGTAAAAAATAATTGAAAAAAACTATAAAAGCATTTCTGCAATATTTTAGTTAAACTAAAATGTCAGTAAGTAAACTATTTCATAGGAGTGGTGTTAGGTTTGTCTGTAAATATGCATTACCATATACAATTTGATATAATATATATATATATATATATATATATATATATATATATATAAAACTGTGCCATGACTTGTGTCTCAATATTTAATTTAATCAGATAACATCATATTTCCAATGTATGGATAGGTAATAACAACTGTTGGAAATAATTTTATATAAATGCTTGTTTTTCCCACTGTATTGGACGCATAACTTAATGTTATTTAGCGCAACTCATGCCTTAGAAAGTTAGAAGTGAGGATGTTGATACATATTACAGTTACACTGTCACCCCCTTGCAAAATAAGTATTTCATAAACATACAGCCTTTATGAAATACTCACAATACCTGCAAATTACCTTCAGGCGTCACTGGCGATGGCTGGGGGATTGACACTTCTAGACGGAAGAAGATGGAGGTGTCCACAAGGGACAGGTTCAGGTAAGTTCAACTCACCTTGCCTGTCCCCTGGTAAATAGAAACCAAGAGGTGAATCCTCATGTGGTTACAGTGTCAGTTTAACCAACATTCACACCTACCAGCATATACTAAATAGATGATGGCATGGTAAATAATATAATTTGGTAACAAATACATTTTATAATGGCTGAAGTCAAGCAATGGAACAAAAAAATATATATTTAGATATGTTTAGTTAGAAAGATGACCCAGCATTCAATTTGTTAAGACATTTACATATTTTACCATGTTTGTAAAAATATTTTGTATTTCTTTAATGCATTTTGATTAAAATGTTGAAAGCAAATTATAATGCATGTATATTTTGCTTGCAGCATATATCAAGCATAAAAAAACGCAACATCACTTTAAAAAAATGTAATACACAGGTTTAGTCCTCTAAAATCTGATCAATTTATTAAATGCTTTTAATTCTTCTTCTATGATATACAATATGTTTAAGAATCCTGATTCCAGTCCTTGAGCTTATTTTGAATTTTATCTTTAAAAAATGTGACCTGCAACTGCATTAGTTTTCCTTGCTAATACACCTTTGCTCTATAATAGACAATCTGTGTATGTTATTATTTAAAGTTGTATTATATTAGTGTTTCACTCTGGAAAGAAAATCTCAGAACATTGTACTGATAATATTTTTAACTGTTAGACTTTTAGAACTGTTAGATGTACTTAATCTGATCACACATTTCTGTTTTCAAGATCAGAATTGCAACTGGGTTGTTCAAATGTACTCTTGTTCAAACCTAAAAACATCACACAATTCCAGGAAAGTGTATCTCCATAGATGTACCCAAAATATTTCAATTACCTATGCAGATAATACATATTGAAATATATTTTTTAAATCGTGTTGCATTTTTAAGTAAACTCTAATGAGCTAGATCATAACTTATAAAAAAAAAAGAGAGAAGTACCAACGCTAACATATGATAACAGTAAATAAAACAATTTTGAAAAACAATATATCATAAGCTGCTATATCACCATGATCTTATTTTATAACATAGAAATTGAACCCGTGTGATGGTAAAGATCATATAACTTGTTTAACAGTTTTTTCTCCTACTCAAAATTGCTAGATTTATTTGTTTTGGTTTTTATTTAAATGAACAGATTAATGATGCGTCAGTACCTCTTCAGTGGCCAACATCAGTCCCGAATTCCCTACTAAACATGATTGAATAGTCATGAAATGATGTACAGTTGTTAGTCATTGAATAGCACAGAATTCCTGATCACCAACATAAACAATAGCTTATAGAATCTGAAATAGATTCTTTACCCTTCCATTTCAGATGTATTATATAGACATTTCTAAAGATATATCATGTCAATTTTATTTAGACAGAAAATAAATATGGAAAATTTGTTTTTTCTTGTAGAATTCATATATTTTAATATGATAAAAAATGATACTTAAAAATGATCATTTAAAAAAATATATAATTTTAAAATAATAAAAATGATCTTTGAGTATATATTTTGGGTAATAAACATTAAACCACGTTTAACAGTTTACTTAATAATTTATCTATTTTATGGCAGATAAAAAAACAAAACAAACGTATAGTCATATATTCTATAAATTTCTGGTTAAATAAAAGTGATACAGCATATTTAATTTCATGTCTATTAGAAATAACTATAGCAGTTGTATGTAGAAGGTGGTGTTAATTCTTGACCAATGTTCTAAAAGTGGTCATCAGAAACATTCCAATGAGAGGGCAGAACCTTTGTTTGAGGTTACTATGTCTTGCTTGCAAATTAACTAGAGCTTGAATAGTGACTGCTCTTATATGTTAATGTCTGTATTTCATGTATAAAGGTACACGTCAACTAAGACTCAGTTAAGATATTCCTAAGTAGACAACACCCCTAAAGAAAACTTGAAAGCTCTCATTAAATCTTTGTGAATATATTTTACATTTTCTTATTTAAATAGCTTTTAATGATTACTTGCTAACACAAAGTGTGATCCACCATTTTAGCGTGTTTATTTATTAATAAACTGTTTTATCAATTATTATTGTTATAATCTGTAATGTGTGATCCAATATTTATTTGAATGAATATTAATTGATATGAAGAACCACACTAGAGAGAAAACCAGTAAGTGGAGCTAGCCATAGTTTTAAAGACTGGTCAATCCTAATCATATATTTAAGTTATATAATGCATGCAGAATATGTTGATTCTCTTATGAACTAAATATTGAGAGAGCATTCATATTACCTTATGTAACTGATTAAATAACTTAAAACATTTTGGTTATTTGGCTTTTTATGTTTTCCTAATGCAACTTGTCTAACTCTACTAGGGATCCCAATAGCTATTATGAACCTTTGACCTATTGACTTGCAACACTGACACAGCCAAAAAATCTTATACATAGACACATTTAAATGGATAGGTGTCAAATGCACAAAATCAATGCTGACAATATCACTTATATAATTCACATGTATATTCGGCAAGAAAAAAATGCTGAAATGGTTTGCTGATATGGATGTTTCATTTGGCTTACAAGAGCTTGTTCTCCTATATATAATTTTAATAATGCTGGATCTATAATAGCACTCTTATTTGTTTTCCTTCCTTGCACTCACTCCTAGAAACATGGAATCTTCTACAATTCTTGCAAACCTTGATCTCATTAGCTTTTTAAACTAAGGTTGTTTTTTTCAGTTACATCACCAGTCATTGCATATAGTGCTAAATTATATCAACGTTAACAATATTTTTGAGATAACCTATTAAGATAAAAAATAAGCATGCATATGCTTAGAATGTAAATGTTCATATGTATCCTCATAAAACAGTCTCATTGCATTTACTTATTAAACACCCCATTGTAGTGATCTAAAAACAAATTGCAAAATGTATGTAAAAATAGCTGATGTGGAAATGAAAAATCCCCACTTAACAATAATCACAAAATAGCTAGCTTAGCTAACATTGCTATATGGGTTTCATTTTACTACAATTCTTGTGTTTATTGAATTGACCCCTTCATCTATTTAGCATGAAATAATACATTTGTAATTTGTACATTTGGTCTTAAAATTACCAGTCAATTTAATGTCATAAAATCATGGGTAGAAAAAAATTCAGAAGGGATTAGACAAGGTGTTATTAATTCATATTATATGATTAACTTAATGTTTTGGTAGACTTTTTTTTATTTTTAATATATCCGTATCAGGAAGCAGCAGAATATCCAGAAAAAAAGTGAATAGATTTCATTCAGTCACATGAAAAAACTATAAAATACTACTAAAAAGTACATATACCCAGGACAGGCTTGAAAACGAGAGAAATCCCAATGTATCTTTCCTGGTAAAATATTTTATAAATAAATAAATATAGGGTTACACGAGATCCAGGATACTGTGTAATAGTTATCCCATTGACATGTGTGGGACAAATTCTATTCAATGACTGTAAAATATTGCTGGAATACATTTTAGAATTGTGCCTTTGCAACATTTAAATTCACCAAACATGTTGAGTCAGATTTAATGTTTTTTAAAGAATAATAGGACCATTAAATACAATGTGAGTGGCTGAGTGCAGGAAAAATTCTAGATAGGGATAAATGATCCAATAGATCATTCAGCACATATTGTATCTAGATATTCAGGCAGACCTAAGCTTATTATTTTTAAAAATATATAGAAGCAAATGTCAAGATAAATATGGCTTGAAATTTACAGTACAAATGTATGCATTTTATAGAATAGGCTTGCATATTATAGAAAAAAAGTATCAGGACAAGCAATTTTAAATGTGTACTTGTAAAAGCCATTAGTTGGACTTCATCTCTAGAAAATATAGATGTTCTGAATAGAGTTTAGTAAAACCTATATTATCCAATTGGAAATAGTGTTGAAAGAGAAAATTATATTAATAAAGGTAATGTATGAATTACATTATGACGAGGGACAAGCCAAACTATATTTCTTTTATCTGGTTAAAGCTCATTTTCATCTTAAGCATAAAAATTAAATATTCATTAAGATACATTGAAGTTTTCTTGGTGAATTACTGATTGAAGTGGGTGATTCAAGAAGCTTAATTGAAATTGTGAAGAATTGTTTTGCCTTACACAGATTATTAGCTCTGGTCAGGCACTTCCATTCCAACCCTGTATACATATGATGAACACAATGGACAATTATTAATAGTTTGTTATAACTTCACCAACTGTGCAATGATTTCATATACTAAATGAGTCTGTGCCAATTTGCACAATATCAAGTTAGAAAGGTTATACCACTCATTTAAAAATTGTTTTACATGCTTCATACAAAAAAATAAAATACATACTTGGAAAATGTCTTCAATATAATTATTTTTTATTGTATCAAGGTATTAAAAATCAATTAAAAGATAACAGAAAGTAAATGTACCTTCTAAAACTTGGATTTATTTACTAAACAGCGAATTGTAGTGAAATGAAAACTGAATTATAAAAGTCAGGCCAAAATAGCTGATTGTGGACCAAATCATTAATTTAGCAATAATCACAGCCTACCTGATTAAGCTCAATTGTGTTTTAAATATTTACAATATGAAGCATGAGCCACAAACAACTAGGGATAGGTTTGTTTTAGTCTACTACAACATGTGATAATTGTGGACTTAGCTTACATTTTATAATTCAACTGAATAATATTTAGTGTGGATGAATCACACTAACTCTAACTTTATGGCATTCCTTCATGGATCAACCCCCCCCCCCCACCTCCTGATAACTGAAGTAGAAGATGGACCAAGTACTTAGCACAAGAGAAAAGAAAATTTGAGCAAGTGCACGTTCCATGATGTAAATTCTTAATTTCCCATGTGAGTTAAAATCATCACACAAACATACAGTCTGATCTAGAAATGAACCAATTGTACTCAATGACCAATAGACAACTAAACTCAGATCTGATTGACAAGTGAGGGTAAAGGTCATACGTTTACATGGCTTTTTAAAAAAAAATAAAAAATTACATATTTGTAAGCGGTGTAATGTATTGTGGCAAGTTAAACCTGATTGTCACACTTGCAAATTTAAAATAGTTTGTTGTGATTGAATTTTGTACAGAACTGGTAACTGTGATGTAATAAGCCTATGTCTAAGGTTTAACACAGAAAGTAAGTGTCTGTGTACAACACTCTTCTAGAGGTCCAAACCCAAACAAGAACTACAAGCAGGATTATCAACATTAGTCAGAGAACATTTCTGAAGAAATCCTGATAATTCAACTTACAGCTTGTGTTTGGTGTTTCTAACTTAAACCACTGGGCACAGAGACCTAGTATGACTGTGTTCAAGTGTATCTATAATGGCACACACTACGTATAAAATTATATCTTTATATTGCACTAGAAAAATTGCTAGCAAATATAAAGATTGGGAGAGCAGCCTCTTTAAAAATAGGTGTTCAATACTTTGCTATAGACCTCTGCCTTGAAGAACTAAGTAACAGGGAAAGCAGGAATGACCTCCCATGGGAGGTATTCCTGCTTACCAAGCATAGTAACCCCAGCATATTAACTGAACTAGAATTTGCTACCCCCAAGCCGATGCTAACATGGACTGGCTCTTTGTATTTTTGCTATTATGTAACATACTATCGATGAATACTGGAAAAAAAAGTTACACAATAATTTTAAGAAAAAAACATACAAATGGAGGCAATATTTTTGTCAATTTGCTTGGTATTGAAGGGGTTCACATTAATTTTAGTTAAATTACTTCTGAAAAAAGCTGAGCAAATAACTTTCATCAAATAACGCAGATTTAAAGAGAAAGGTATACAGAAATCTTAGAAGCTGTATTGCAATACATTTTTGTTGTATATCATTATTGTTTTAGTTATGAACCAAATATATAAGAAAAATTTGCTTACCCATCATATTTAATTGCTGCTTTCCGTCAGTGCTAGAATTGCAATATTTTAAAATGATCTTAAGTCTTTAAATGTCTTGAACTGTTTTCAAAACTTCAGTAATGCCATTGTGATTAGGTAGTCAAAAACTAAATACAAATTTGGCTTGGACATGATTTCATGATTTTCACATTTGTTCATTTGCTGAAATACAGACATTCTTCAGTATTTACCGACATAATTCTTACCCTAAATCAAACACATAAAATTATAATGGATGACATATAGAACCATGGAGTTTGAAAGATGATGAAGGCGTGTTTTATTTTGAGAATACAGCTGGCTCTCCTTATCCTAACAAGAAGAAAGATGGATAGCTTTATGTGCCAATTAATCTCTTGTGCTACTAGGTATAATTTTGTTTAGTTTAAATAAACTTAGAGCTTAATTTAGATTGGGACTGCTGATCAGGAGATGGGTTGAATTTCCAAACTCCAAGATAAAATGGAACCAATTCACAAAGCAAATACGAGCATATCTATTTCAGTTTGTGATTCGGAATCTGGTCTGTGTCTACAAAAAGACAGATGATTGATGGAAAAAAGATGAATGGCTGCTAAGGGACAGCCATCAAATGTTGACTTTGTTCACAGACCAAGTGAGAAGTGACCAAAAGAGGGAAAAACCAGAAGCAGTAAAAAAAAAAAATTAAATAAAATTAAATAAATAAATAAATATACATATTGCAGTATACCAATTAGCCCATTTTTGCACCCTGTTCCAAACTGTTCTGGAATCAAAATTCAGCTGAAATCCAGGTGTCCCAAAAAGTATCTGTTTTTGGTAAAAGTGGTTCTACCAACCTTCATTGTCTATCAGTTTACAAGTATAATTATCAATCATGGTATGCATTCCTGGTTTATAGGTAACCTACCCACAATAACCAGTAGGTGTAGTTTAGAATCTTGATATAAAACCCTGTCTCATAGCTTATCACAAGTGGATATTCCAAAACTTGCTGTTTATCTTTAGGATTTTACCAAATACAATATAGCATCTATAATGTGATATATCCCAAAGTCTTTATATTGTCATTACAAATTATGGCTTAAATTAATCTCCAAGTCATTATGCAATAGCTCAGCAAATTTTACCCACTAAAATATGCCCATAAATTTAATTACATCGGAGTAACAATATTAATGCTAACTGTTTGTCTTAACATTATGTGGAAAATAGCTGTTCAAAAGACACAGTAACAGGAACTATGTTATGAATCCAAAGAAAAAGTGTGGTTGCACTCGCATTTCAATAAAGTTTAAACCATTGTCATTGTTAATGCAACTGGAGGCGGCGATACCGCTTGTATTCAAATAGTGTTCCAATGAATCTGGGCACATAGCAACTGTTATAGTGCAAACCTTAATTGGATCATCAAGTTACGAAAATCTTTTGGCCTCTTAATGTGGCATTTGGCAAGTCATATCATGCAAGTATACAGCGCTTTAGATATAATGAGAAAATAACAAGGACACTTACAAGCCCTCCTGTCATGGAGAATGATGCAAACTGGAAAAAGACAGCGATGTCAGTCAATCAAGTTTATCCGAGCCCAATCATGTGAGCAAACACATATGTGACTGTGAGCTAATGACGTGTAATACAGATCTACAGGGTAATGCATTCCAAATATGTGTCCATGGCAATGGGAACCATATTAGTTAATTATATACTCCTAAAAGAAATCAACACAGAGGCCCATTCCACAATAAGCACGTAAATCTGGACCAAGATTATACTAAAGAAACCTAAAATTACATTTATATAGACTTAGTATCAAATCGAACCAAACTTAATAAAAATGCTACATTACAAAACTTAAATTTCAAAATAATTGAAGCCCTACTTATTTAGAACTTTATATTTCTCACTGTAGAATTTACAATTAGGTTGGGTTGTCCTAGCTACTAACTCTAAGTCATGCAGATTTTGACTCACGTTTTCTGGCTTCAATTAATGTGATTGACTGATGCCTCTTCCTCTTTCCTGCATGTGACAACAACAAAATGTATCCTTGTTATTTTATCACTATATATGATGCATACCTGAACTACTTTTACAAAGGCCACATAGCATGGCTGTAACTTGGTGATCTGATTAACATTTGCACTATACCAGTTGTTGTGTGCTCGGACTCATTGTGAATGCTATCCGTAATAGGAACTGGCAAAATCTCTGACCGGAAATTACAATTTCAAGAACACACACAAAATATTTAGAAATGAACAATCAGTCATTCAGACTTTGCTTCACACACACATACTAACAATGAAAACTAGTAATATAAGATTATATAAATGTGTACCAAGAGAAATAAAGTCAATATTATTTATCTATATTTCATAAAACTCACACTGGATATAGCTGAAATACTTGCTATTAACGCATGAATAGCAGCAATAGTCATTTTCAGTACACCCATTATGAATTCTCACACAACTTTTATGTTTTTTGTTCTTCTATGACAACATTCATGAAATATATAGAAAGGTATGTACATATCCATTATATTCTAAACAATATATATATTTAATAAATATGCACATAGCAGTCTCCTACTACTGATATCTCAACAATCAGATGGAACTTGTAAGAATGTAGGAAACTAAACAATCAATGATGTTTTCTATATAAAGAAGCACGTGTATTATTGAAAATATCACTAAAGCTCATAATGGAGCATGTTCACATGTGATTTCAAAGGAAATTAAATTGTCCATCTTTAGTAATGCAAAGTTATGTCTTAAATAACCTGTATCATAATAATGAAATAGGGATAAAAAAAGAGTTCTGCCTATTATATTCAAAGTATTCATTATTTTTTTACATAGAGTAAATACTTTTATTTATTGGAATCACAGCAAATTTAAAATGTGGACTAATATTAATGTATTGGTCCATATAAGACTTATAGCCAGTCTAATATTATAGATCAGTCAAATAAATATTTAATCAAAATACCTTTAACACCTTGGTCAGCACTGTTGAGTTGGTATTGAGTTGTTATTGGATCAATAGATGGATTAACCAAATGTTAATGTGTTGGTGTAGATTATTTATGCTTAAAATAAATTAGTTTTTTTTGAAGTATTAAACCAATATATATGTTGCTTCCAATTCACATGACAAACTAAAAAATAAATATTTTGGAAATATTATCTTAATTTAAACATAAATTCAGTTAATAATGTTATACATAATGCTACAATTTTTTTTTTAGGGCAATGTCATAATATAATAAGGAATCTTACTGTTTACATTCACATTTTATTGAGAATGTGTATGTGGTAATTGATATTGAATGAGTATATCAATTTTATTTTTCTCATTTGCATACAAAATTAAATAAGCATATCACAATAAATTAAACAGACCTAAAAATCACACAATGAAATATAACCCAGGATAAAATAAAAAAATAAAAAAGATTTTAAATGTAAATCAAGATGTATATGACTATCTGAGATATATATATATATATATATATATATATATATATATATATATATATTATTTATTTTTTAATTTTATTTTTTAATATAAGCACCAACTACATTGTGTAGATACTATTAAAGGGACATTATAGTCACCCAGAACATTTCATCTCATTGAAGTGGTCTGGGTGCAGTGTCCCTGTCCCATTTAGTCCTGCAATTTAAAACATTGTAATTTTGGAGAAACTGCAATAATTACATTGCAGGACTAAGACTGACTATATATTGGTTGTCAATCAGACAGCCACTAGAGGCACTTTCTGGTGGCTAACTGAATTTTGGTCATCTAATGCTGAAAGTCCACACGCTCTGCATGAGGACATCTTGCGTCAGTAAAATCCACATAGGAAAACACGGTGCTTGCCGTGCATTACGCCATGTCAGATGATGTCAGAGGAGGCGAAGTGCCAATCCAGCGATGAGGGGGATCGGGTAAGTGACTTGAGGGTTATTAAATTGTTTATAAGCTGGTAGGTGTGGTGCAAAGGAGGGGGGACCAGAGGGCACTATAGGCTTAGGAATACAGATGTGTATTCCTAACACTTTAGAATCCATTTAACTGTATTATTATTTTATGATTTGTTGCAATTCAAAATGAGAATGTTAGAAAAATGTGAGCTGCCATAGAAGACACCTTAAAATTGCATGTTTTTTGAAAATGTCTTTTTATTTATTTAAATCTTTTCAATTAGCACATATTTTTATGCAAGCAAAAAGTAATTCCTGCTCCACAATCTGGGTATATATGATCTGCATTTCAGAATTTTGTGGGAATTTCCTTCTCTTTACTTTAACGTGTCTTACTTTTATGTGTTGCAGCACAGAACAATCTCATATTTTGTACCATTTATTCCATTCCATTTAATACTATATCGAGGAAGGCTTGTATTTTTTTTTCTTGAGTAGCCAATAAGATTTTCTATACAGAGTGAAATGTGAGTGATCTTTTATTACAAAGTCAATCAACAAGTATTTTTTGCTTACTTTAATATTAACACAAAAAAAATGTTTAAATTTTATTTTGACTAAAATGAATGGTTGGATAAGCATGCTAAACTAATGGCAAAATGTATAATTTTAATGTGTTTGAAAAAAAACACACTAACCTACACATGGAAACAATGCAACATGTGTTTAAAGAACATACACACAAAATAAAATAAACTGCACTACAGATATCTTTCTTTTATACTTTTTCTGTTTAATGCCAATGAAAGAAAAGGACAGTTTTTTGAGCAAACTGAATTATGATGTTTGATATCATAAGTGTGCTTTATTACTGTCATTTAAATGTACACATAATCATAGAATGAATACAAAGTTGTTTTTTCATATTTCTAGTACTACAGTAAAAACTCACAGTATATGATGTCTAAAATCCCTAAATTTTGGGCATCCCTGTAGGTAATGTATGTCAGATTTTCGTCTGTGAAACAGATTTGTCTTCTTGATTAGGTTAATGAGTTATCTTCAAGCAGTGCTATTACTTAATATGAATAATACATACAAGCTAGCTCCCCTTTAACCCTTTAAGGACCAAACTTCTGGAATACAAGGGAATCATGACATGTCACACATGTCGTGTCCTTAAGGGGTTAATTATTCAGTTACCATATCTTAGATTCCATTTCCTACATGGCTCCATGACTAGGGAACACTTGTCAAATCTTTTAAAACAGTAATCATTTTTTGCTCATTGACATTAATTTTATATGTCTAATTTCCAGATTTATAAAAGGTGGTTTAATTGAATGGAAAAACTCAGGTAAACTCCTTAAAATGTAGGTATCATTGCATATAATTTTGAAATATAACAGTATTCAAAGGCAAGCTAAACTTTCAGTTGAGATCATTAAATAATGGTCAAGTAAAAAGCCTCTTTTATGTATAAAAAGCTTGTTATATTACTTTTAAATGCCATCTGATTACGTTCTTCTAAAGAAGCAATGATACTTTTTTTTTTTAAATCTAAAATGTTACACAAAATCCAGAGTGTAATAAAACAAAGTGAACTCAACAAAACATTAAAGTTGAAAAAAATAAAACATGGGGATAGTATTTATGGGTTGCTTAGTTGTCTTTTTACAATGTTTTATCTTCAAGAAAAAAATCACCAAATCCCATGAGTCTCATTATTATTTAAATAATAATTTGCTTATCTTCAGTTTTAAAGAAAATCTTCCACATCATTTCATGGCACATATTGGTATTATTGGCACAGGTTCAAAAATCACAGTCCAAATCCAAAAATTCATACAGTCAGTCCTTTGTTTAAGAATTTCTTCTTGGTCATTGAAATGTAATTTTCATTTGTCTTTTATCCCAAAAAAATCATATTATTTGAGGAAAAAAAATTAGTGTCTGTAGATTTACTTTTATAAAAATATATTTGTCCAATAGAGTTCTGCTCTTTAAGTCCCAGTAGTAAACAAAAATAGTAGACGCCTGTTATTTTATTTTTACAGGTTTACTAATGGAATCCTGTTGAAGGAAAATAAAAATATATTGTTAAAAGACCCCAATACAAGCATAATACAATTACACATTTTTAATGATCCAGGTACACTTTTTCTAACCCATAAAATCAACATTGCATATCAGAGCTGTGTGCAAGTTAATTTGTTAATATAGTATTAAACATACATCTGTTTGCATTCTAACCAAAATCAGTGAATTTGAAAACAAATATCTAATTACCTTTATAATTTTGTTTCCATAGAATGTGTTTATTACAAAGTTTGCAATTTAGAATGATTCCCTTACTCTGCCATGTCCTAGGTTCTCCATTTTTACCTACCTTTTGCTCTAGGTCAGCACCTTGGTCCTTGGTGGCCTAGTGGCCACTTCAGGAAGTGTACATTTCTGAGTGCACACAATTTGATCCCTAAACCATTATTGTCCAAAGGACAGAAACCTGAATAATAATTGGCACCTTGTATC